GAGGCAGCTGTGTGACGTTATTGACTTGAACTGGGACCACATAGAACACTGTTGCAATCAAGATCCTGTAGTGGCACCAAATTGTGTATAAAGGGGGGTCAAATAAGGTGTCTAAGATGAGGTTATGGTTTGCTGGTTAGGATTATGCTATCTGTTTGCATGTATCATTTTTGTAGTTAAAGATATAAGTATTGGCTCTATACTGTCTGTATATCAAACTTATGCTGTGCTTCTGGGTGACACCCCAGACAAGTTGGGGTCAGCTCTGCCTAGCCTGCTTGATGGCCCATTAAGGATCATCAGCTATACAAGTGACCCACTGAGAGAGGGCAGACATGCCTTGGGACTCAGCCAGGTAGGCAGGGACTTGCCTAGGGACAGAACTCTGAGGTGTTTCCAGGCCATGTGATGGACAGTTTGTCTTTGGGACAAAGAGACAGACCACATGGCAAGAGAATATAAAAAGCTGCTGCAGCTCCTCCATCTTGTCTTCAATCCTGCTTCCTGCCTCTGGAGGGACTTTGCTACACTGAAGCTTTGAACCAAGGACTGAAAGACCCATCCCAGCTGGGGATGTACTCCAGAGACTTGATTTGAACCTGCAGTTTATTCTATCACTGCTGCAAGCCTGAACCAAGAACTTTGCCATGACTGTATGTCATTGATTCCATTTAGGCAATACTAGCTCTCATCTATATCTTTTTTTTCCTTTTGTGAATAAACCTTTAGATTTTAGATTCAAGTTCAATCAAGTTGCAGTGGGGGAGGTTTAGATTGGATATTAGGAAAAACTTTTTCACTAAGAGGGTGGTGAAACACTGGAATGCGTTACCTAGGGAGGTGGTAGAATCTCCTTCCTTAGAGGTTTTTAAGGTCAGGCTTGACAAAGCCCTGGCTGGGATGATTTAACTGGGAATTGGTCCTGCTTCGAGCAGGGGGTTGGACTAGATGACCTTCTGGGGTCCCTTCCAACCCTGATATTCTATGATTCTAAAGGACTGGCAACAGCGTGATTTGTGGTTAAGATCTGATTTGTATATTGACCTGGGTCTGGGGCTCGATCCTTTGGGATCGAGAGAACCTTTTTTCTTGTACTGGGGTATTGGTTTTCATAACCATTTATCCCCATAAATGAGGGGCACTGGTGGAGATACTGGGAAATTGGAGTGTCTAAGGGAATTGCTTGTGTGACCTGTGGTTAGCCAGTGGGGTGAGACCAAAGTCTGCTCCGTTTGGCTGGTTTGGTTTGCCTTAGAGGTGGAAAAACCCCAGCCTTGGGCTGTAACTGCCCTGCTTTAAGCAATTTGTCCTGAATTGGCACTCTCAGTTGGGTCCTGCCAGAATCAGCATTGTTACAAGCTAGTATAACTTGTCATCTTTTTTGGAAATTGTTCGTCCAGATGCTGGATTTAATCTAGTTTTTTTTGCTGGTTGGAACAAACTATCTAAGACTGATTTTACACCTAGTGGGTGAATAGAGAATATCAAAAACTGGGTGTGTGACTTCCTCTAATACAACAGAAGGGATGTTCAAGGTTGTAGCCATCCTTTCTATAATGTTATGCTGTCTATAAATTTGTATCTTCTGGAAGAAGTTGCTCTCACATTGTCATCCAGTGATGTCTGAACCTCCATATCCATATCCACATGTTCAGCAGGACCTTCTATTTTTTCTTCTTCTATTCTTGTCAGGAAGTTAAAGAAGTATGGGCTGGATGAATGCACTATAAGGTGGGTAGAAAGTTGACTAGATTGTCGGGCTCAACGGGTAGTGATCAATGGCTCCATGTCTAGTTGGCAGCCGGTGTCAAGTGGAGTGCCCCAGGGGTTGGTCCTGGGGCCGGTTTTGTTCAATATCTTCATAAATGATCTGGAGGATGGTGTGGATTGCACTCTCAGCAAATTTGCGGATGATACTAAACTAGGAGGAGTGGTAGATACGCTGGAGGGGAGGGATAGGATACAGAGGGACCTAGACAAATTGGAGGATTGGGCCAAAAGAAATCTGATGAGGTTTAATAAGGATAAGTGCAGGGTCCTTCACTTAGGACGGAAGAACCCAATGCACAGCTACAGATTAGGGACCGAATGGCTAGGCAGCAGTTCTGCGGAAAAGGACCTAGGGGTGACAGTGGACGAGAAGCTGGATATGAGTCAGCAGTGTGCCCTTGTTGCCAAGAAGGCCAATGGCATTTTGGGATGTATAAGTAGGGGCATAGCGAGCAGATCGAGGGACGTGATCGTCCCCCTCTATTCGACATTGGTGAGGCCTCATCTGGAGTACTGTGTCCAGTTTTGGGCCCCACACTACAAGAAGGATGTGGATAAATTGGAGAGAGTCCAGCGAAGGGAAACAAAAATGATTAGGGGTCTGGAACACATGACTTATGAGGAGAGGCTGAGGGAACTGGGATTGTTTAGTCTGCAGAAGAGAAGAATGAGGGGGGATTTGATAGCTGCTTTCAACTGCCTGAGAGGTGGTTCCAGAGAGGATGGTTCTAGACTATTCTCAGTGATAGAAGAGGACGGGACAAGGAGTAATAATCTCAAGTTGCAGTGGGGAAGGTTTAGGTTGGATATTAGGAAAAACTTTTTCACGAGGAGGGTGGTGAAACACTGTAATGCGTTACCTAGGGAGGTGGTAGAATCTCCTTCCTTAGAAGTTTTTAAGGTCAGGCTTGACAAAGCCCTGGCTGGGATGATTTAATTGGGGATTGGTCCTGCTTTGAGCAGGGGGTTGGACTAGATGACCTCCTGAGGTCCCTTCCAACCCTGATATTCTATGATTCTTCAAGGAGTATCTAGGATTAATGGAGACCTTTCCTTTGCTATTAGCAAGGGTGGTGGAATCTTTCCACTGAATCTTGTGCGAGCAGGCTCCTTTAACAGCTGTCTGGAGGAAGGCGAAACCAGCCCCACTACCTAGGGAGATCATAATCCATGGGTGAGGGAAGGTGAACTTGAGGGCTGAAAGATCAGAACTGGAAGACTTGAACTTCTTCTAGATTCCCTGATTTGTTCCCTGGATATCAAATTGGTTTGGAGAAACCTTGGAGGACAAGCATGTGAGCACTTCAGCAGGCACTGCTATTAGAAGGTTCCATCAGTCCAAGCTTCACTGTTTGCACATCCCAACAGTGTACATATACAGAGGCTAATCAAAGAAGAATTAATAAATACAGAAGACAGCCTCTGGAAGGAAAGAGGACCCTGCTTCATTCTTCAATGACCTCTTCAGGCTACATACAGGAGACAGCTACTTCCACAGCCTGCTAGTATAAGTCTAGGTCTCAGATGTTAGAGCACTGGACTAGGAATCAGAAGAACTGGGTTCTATTGCCAGCTCTATCACTGACCTGCTGTGTGATCTTAAGCAAGTCACTTCCCCTCTCTGCACTTCAGTTTTCCTTCTCACCTTTTGTCTAATTTGTCCAGCTAGACTATAAGCTATTAAGAGCAGGGACTGTCTCCTTCCTCATGTTTACAAAGAGCCTGTCACAACTGGGACCCAATCTCAGCCAGGGCTTCCAAGTGCTACCAGAATACAAATAACTAATAATGGAGAATGAATTGTTGCCATGGAGGAATTATCTGAGAAAGGATAATTAAAAAAGGAAACTGGAGATCCCAGTAAAATAGCTACCTATCAAAAAGGAAGCCTTTAATAAAGGGAAGAATAGAGAAAAAACCAGAGGAAAAACAGACAGACCTAGGCTTTCATTACTGCCAATCTAATGAATAGGGATGGCTGGTTTGGTAGTGGCGCCATAGCACACTATTTTCAAAGTACTGAGCCGTCATAAGGCTCTTAGTCCCTGTGAGAGGCGTTAATACACCCCAGGTTTGTATATGAACTCTCAGACCAACAGGAGTAAGTGACTTGCCCGAGGTAACTTAAGTCAGTCTGAGAGCAGGGAATGTGGCCCAGGAGTCCTGGTTCCCCACAGAGCGCAAGTAGCACACCGAATCAATAAGCCAGGTTTTGCCCCACATCACACTTTTGCCAAGCAAGATCCAACAAGGGACACAGAGCAAGGCCCAGTGCCCAGGAGAAGCTGCATCACCTGCAGGGGGCCCTCAGAGGACTGGATCTTGTGCTCAGGCATCTCTGATGCTGGGATGTAGAAATCTGACACGGCTGCTGCCAGGTAGAACATCACGCTGGAGCCTATGGGGGAAAGGAGCCAGAATCACCGATGGCCCCGAGGGGGGCTGATCCGGCCCCAGCAATGCCAGGACCCCCCAAAAAAGAGATGACCTCTCTCCCACCCAATGCCACAATCCCTCCCCACGCCAGGACCCCCCTCAAACAGGGCTGACTCCCTCCCACCCACAGCCAGCCCCAGGGTCCACCTACCCCAGCAGGCCCCAGCCTTCGGGCAGTGGCCAGTGAGAGACACTGGACAGGGCTGAGCCCCGCCCCCTCACGCCTGACCCCCCCAGTGCCACGCCCCCCGGCCAGGACACCCAGCGGGGCGGGCGCCCCTTCTCCCCACCCACGCCCCGTACCGAAGGGCGCCAGGGCCCTGGCGGCGGCCCGCAGCAGCGCCAAGTACTCGGTGAGGCTGGTGAACTCGAGCGGCAGGAGCGCGCCCGTCTCCTTGGCGTGCTGGTACCCGAGCAGCGCGGGCACGAGCCCCGGCAGCGCGGCGGGGTCGGCGGTGACACTAGGCCCCGTGTGTACGCGCAAAGCGTCCAAGAGGGCGGGACCCGGCGGCGGGAGCGCGCGCGCCCACGGAAAGGCGGAGCGCGCGCGGTGCAGGAAGCAGACGCCGTATCCGGCGCACACGAGGCGCTCGGCCGAGGCCGCCCCGCGCCGCCCGCTACTGAAGTTCTCCAGGAAGCGCACGGCCCGCGCCTCCAGCGGCACCTGGGTCCCGCCCGACGTCACCAGCGCCACGCGCCGCCCGCGGGCTCTCTGCGCCTCTGCCCAGGCCCGCACGCGCTGCTCCGCCTCTGGCGCGGCCGGCCCGGCGCTGTCCGCGCTGCCCGCCGCCGCCATGCCGGCCGCGCTGGCCGCTTCCGCACCGGAAGCTGCGACCCGGAAGCGCCCCGCGTGCCGCCCCGCCCACGCCGGAAGCCCCGGGTTGCTCGGCAACGCGCCGCTTCCCGGGAACGTCGGCCGGGGCGGGAGCTGGAGGATGAACGCGCAGCAGCTGGTGCCCCTGGCTCTGCCCCGCGGGCGGACGCTGCGCTGCGAGCTGTGCGGGGGGCCGGCCCTGCTGCGCTGCGGGGCCTGCCGCGTCACCTGCTACTGGTGAGCGCCGGGCGCTGCGCCCGCCCCCGGCCCCGGCCCCGGCCCCGGCCCCGGCCCCGGAGCGCCGCGGCCATCCCCGCCCCAGGCTCCTCAGCTCCGGCCCTCCTCCCCCGCCCAGTGCCAGGCCCCGGCCTGAAGTGGTTTCCATTATATACGCTACAGGGTTTCCAGCCTGGGGCCATGGCTCCCAGCAAGCCTGGCCCTGGGCTATCGCCCTTCTGGTTCCCTCTCCCTGCCCCCGACCCCAGTGCCCTGGGACAGCGCCGGCTGCCAGGAGCCCGGCTGTCAAGGGGAAAGTCCAGTCAGATGTGCTGACCGGACACCGAAATCCGGATACTGCCGGCAGGGGGCGGCCCTGGGTCATCAGTCCATGTCAGCCGCTGCTCGGCTGGGGCCACCTCCTACCTGCATCTCCTGTGCAGGCAGGCTCCTGTCCCGGCCCCAGAGCAGAGGGAGCCCAGCTTGGACAGTGGGGGAGGGAGGTGGAGAGGATTGAAAGACAACGAAGGGGGACGGGGAGAGCAGTGAGCAACAAGGAAAGGAGGGAAGAGGCGCAAGCATGGTGTAGGGGCTTGGTGAAAGAGGCCTTGGGAGCAGAGGCAGAGTGGGGAGACAGCCCTTTGATTTCGCTGTCTCCATTCCCCTGCCCCTGTGCCGTGCCCCAGATCCCTGGTCACCCCTATTCCCTGCCCACCCCGGCACCCCGCCCCATACCCTGGGCTGCCCCCATTCTCCACCAGTGCCCTACCCCAGACCCTGGCCACCCCAATTCTCCTCCTCCCACACAGACCCTGCCCAAGCCCCCTGGCCACCTCCATCCTCGTTTCCCCCCTCTCTCAGTGCCCTGCCCCTTATCTGCATTCTGATTCCCCAAGTCTCGCACCCTCCCACCCCCGCCAATGCCTTGTGACAACCCCTAGGCCATCTCCATCCTCATTCCCTTCCCCCTCAATGCCCTGCTCTAGCTCCCTGGGCCATCTCAGCCCTTTGTTCCCCTCCTCTCCCTTCCAAATGCCCTGCCCCAGCCCACAGGACCCCTCCATCCTCGTTCCCCAACCGCAATGCCCTTCCTCCATCACCCCCAGACACCTCCATCCTCATTGCTCTTTCCATTGTTCCCAGACCCACAGTCACCCTGCCTTCCTCTGCACCTCCAGGAACCTACTCTTTCCTTGGGGACTTTTTCATCCCTGCATCCCCATCCCATTATCCCGGCACCCCTGTTCAACCCCAACCCTTCAGGTACCCTGATCTCATCCGTTAGAACAGTCTTCAGCCCTTCTCATCTTGGAGACACCTATGTGTAATTGCACATCTCACCCTAGGAGTGCCCCTTCCTTACACCACTGAGGACAGTTCCAGCAAATCTCTGTCTCTCCCCGGAAAGCCAAGTTCGACACAGATACAGCATACCTGACTCCGTGGATGCTCTGGTGCTTAGCACCCACTGGCAGCCAGCTCCCCCATCCCACCAGTGTTTACCCCCGCCGGCAGCCCTGCTGTTCAATTTCTCCCCCTTCTTACCAGCGCCTCCTGCCCACCACAGATCAGTTCTTCCATGGCATGCAGGAGGTGCTGGGAGGAGTAGGGATGGGACGCGTTCCAGGAAGGGTGTGGAAAGAAGCGGGGTAGGGACGGGAAGAGGTGGGGTGGTGGTGTGGCCTTGGAGGAAGGTGTAGAGTGGTGGGGGGGGGGCAGAGCAAGGGTGGGAAGAAGTAGGGGGAACTTGGGGGAAGGGGTAGAGTGGGGGTTGAGCACCCCCCCCTCCCCCCCGGGTAGACTGGAAGTAGACCTGCCAATATCCAGTGGCTGGAAGCTGAAGTTAGATAAATTCAGACTATGGTGTAAATTTTTAGCCATGAGTGTAATTAATAGTTGGAACAATTTACCAAGGGTTGTGGTGGATTCTCCATCACTGGAAATGTTTAAATCAAAATTGGATGTTTTTCTGAAAGATATGATCACTTCAAACAAGAGGTCAGACTAGTTAAGCATTGTTCTTTCTGGCCTTATAGTCCATGAATTAAAATTATAATTTAAAGTCCTGACCTACAAACTCCTTAACAGACTGTACTCTGGCTGCCTCAGCAACCATTTCTGTGACTTTTCAAGATGGCTGTACTACACAGGAGCGGTTCAGTAGGAGGAATGTCCATTGAAACTAGGGTCCCCAAACTTTTCTCGTCATGCTCCCCCTTACCCTTATCTGCCCTCCCTTTGGGAACTGGGGCCAGGAGTGGGGCTGGGGGGGAGCACAGATGGGCAAGGGGGCCACAGGTGGGGGCGGTGCTGAGGCCAGGAGTGGAGCCAGGGGCTGGGGCAGAGCGGGGCTGGGTGGCGCTCCCTCCCCACTCCCCCATGGGGGCTGACCTGGGCCCTGCCGTGCCCCCCTGAACATTCCACCATGCTGCCTAGGGGTGTGCCCCACAGTTTGGGGACCGCTGGTTTAGATTACCAGACTTGGTAGGCAGAGCATTCCTAGTGGCAAGACCACAGCTATGGAACTCTGCCAAAATGACACTTAAATTCACACACCTCTGTATGGAGGTGTATGGAGCAGGGTGGATTGATTTAACTCACTGATTTTAATCATGATTTAAGGCAGCAATCAGGAAACTTTGATTTAAATAATTGAACATAATAGTGTACTGCATTTGTATTTTTTAGTTATTTTTCTAAAGAAAAGTTGTTTCTCATTGGTTGATAATCATTGCAACATGCTGATTTCTGATTAAATATTGCCTAGGATGATTCAGTTGGGGATTGGTCCTACTTTGAGAAGGGGGTTGGACTAGATGACCTCCTGAGGTCCCTTCCAACTCTGAGATTCTATGATTCTGTGCATTAACTGTGGTGTGCTTTTTGTTGTTGTTGCTAATAACTGTATCTATACGCATTTATTTAATATTTACTTACGATACTCAGATTTTTAAGTTTTACATTTTTATTTTGTTTGAAAATGGTGACTGATCTATTTCTTATTTATTACATGATTAATTTTTACTCGTGGTTTATATAAAGCTCTATTTGAATAGAAATTCAATAAAAATACATAACGTTGGTTTTTTTAGTCAAATAAAACTACTTAAAAGTGCTGGGGAAAATTATCAAAAAGTTTATCAAAGATGTTTTCATTTAAAACTAACTGATTTCTCAAACAAAGGTACAGTTAAGTGTAGATAATGAATTGACCTGATTTTAGAATTAGTAGATCCTCTTACACCTAGATTTTATTCATAGATGGAAAGAAGAAAAGTTTTTCTGGTTTTTCAACTCTCAATCACTGTCTCAACTTTTAATGAACTAGTAATTGAACTGAGCTAGCTGAGTAGACTGAAATGAAGCAGGTATTCTCTCTGCATCCTCAGAAGAGGTTACTGCTTTCAGAAGGTTTCAGAGTACCCTCTGCCCACCCCCACCGAGAGGCCCCAGACTGCCCGCCCCTCAGACGTAGTTCTTGCTGGGGTAGTCACTGCGGGGCTGGGAGGCGGCGGCCGTGTAACAGGCGCTGTAGTTGGTGTTCTTCTCGGGACAGGTGCAGCAGAAGAGGGCGCCCCCCAGAACCCTTTTAGAAGCTGGTTTAGCACTTCAACAAACTCTGGTTCCACATGCTTAGTGACTTCCACCAGTTCAGTGATTTAACTTTCTTTAAAACTTGGTAGTAAACATGTAGTGCTTAATACTATTGTTTATATTTAATTAAAATGATTTTCATTGACTATAATAAATTTAGGCTTATAATTTAATTTTAAAAATAAACATATTTAACTTAAAAAAATCTGATTTGAATAAAAACTGGTTTTCAGTTTTTTTAAATCACTAATTTTTATCCGCCCCGGTATGGTGAGAAAATACCATTTTTGTTGAACTCTGATACTTCAAGATCCTGATCCTACAAATACTTAAGTGCATGCTTGCCTTCAAGCATCTGAAGTTTCATCGACTTCAGTAACATACAAGTTAAAGGTAATCATATGAATAAGTATTTGCAGGCTTGGTGCCTTAATATAATAGAAATATACAAAAGAGGAGTAACTGTTGTTATGGCCATTTATTGGGTGGGATAATGTGCTCACAGAAAGTTGAAGCAATTTGCCTGAGGGCAGTGTGACCTAATGGATAAGCCATGAATTTGTAAAACATTATACAAAATGGACCAGTAACATAATATGTTGATCTCTATATTAAAATAAAAGGTTAGAAGCTTATAGCCAAATGCAGATACCAAGCAATGCTCTTGGCCAATGAGGCTAACTGGGTGTCCAGAAACAGTGGGGGTTTGAACAGAATTCTTAGTTTTTGAAGCTACATTACAAATGACAGGCAAACTGTCTTAATCAGAAGGATCTGAAGTTACCTCTGCCAATTCTTGTTGCTTACTCCAACCAATAAGCATCATCTTTGTCCAGTCCTCTACCTTAGATGCTGAATAGGTCAGTTCACTTCACCAACTAATTTGGATGAGATGGGAGTCTGTGGGTGGATGTCATTACATACTGGAAACGTCAGAGCCCCTATTTTTCCACTAATCCTAAAGCATAAGAATGGCTATACTGGGTCAGACCAAACGTCCATCCAGCCCAGTATCCTGTCTACTGACCGTGGCGAATGCCAGGTGCCCCAGAGGGAGTGAACTTAACAGGTAATGATCAAGTTATCTCTCTCCTGTCATCCATCTCCACCCTCTGATAAACAGAGGCTAGGGACACCATTCCTTACCCATCCTGGCTAATAGCCATTAATGGACTTAACCTCCATGAATTTATCCAGTTCTCTTTTAAACCCTGTTATAGTCCTAGCCTTCACAACCTTCTCAGGCAAGGAGTTCCACAGGTTGACTGTGCGCTGAGTGAAGAAGAACTTCCTTTTATTTGTTTTAAACCTGCTACCCATTAATTTCATTTGGTGGTCCCTAGTTCTTATATTATGGGAACTAGTAAATAACTTTTCCTTATTCCCTTTCTCTACACCACTCATGATTTTAGATACCTCTATCATAT